GCACCTGCTGCTGTGACATCAACTAGGTATGGATACAGATTAGGGACATAAAGACAGCATACCGCATATGCACTTTCAGTTACACAGATCAGAAGTTATGACCCAGACAAGAGAAAGTTTACGTACAGGATGAAGACCACACCATAACTTGTCCATCTTTCAATGGACATATAATCAAAATGCAGACAACAACCCGTAATACTTAAAGTAAAATTCCAGAGTGGTTTAATATATATTATGTTAAAAAAAAGTATCTTAGTTTGGTGTAAAAATGTTGTCAGTGCCAGGTTTGCAGCAGTGCTGCCCTCTGATTTACTGTGCAAGTAAAAAACAAAACAAAGGCAAAGAAACACTAATTTATGAGGTTCTCTCTAATTTGCCTTTCATTGACACCCCCCTCCCCCCCACACACCCTGAACTATCTCCCTGTTCATGTTAATGTTGAACCAGTGGCCCTCAAAGGCCATTACCCTGCACGTTTTGGAGGTTTCTCTGCTTCATCACACCTGATTTGAATCAATGGGAGATTAACCGTCTTCAGCAGAACATGAAACGATAATTCAACCATTGAACTCGGTGTGTTGGATAAGGGAAACCAGTAAAACATGCAGGCTAGTGGTTCTTGAGGAACAGCATTGAACGCCCCCCTGTTATGGAGACAATAAAACTCTAGCATCTCACTTACGAAGAGCAGGTTTTACTCAGTATGTGCTATAATAGACTCTAGACCGTGTGTCAGCATATCCAGACGTAAGTGTAAAATACCATCCAATGCAAAAGTGATGCTGTTTTGAACTGCAATGTATAATTTTTGAGATTGAGAAATTCAAACAAGCTGAAAACTTTTCTTGGATAGGCTAGTCATCAGCTCAACTCCTATGAAAATTTATTTATTGTTTTTAATTGTATTTATTTACTGTAGATTGTTTTGACTGTTGTCTGCTGAAGGTAAGAGAGCATCTCCTCATATAGTAACTATTCCACAGAAACCCACTTGAAAAAATATTTCTACTTTCTCTTTAAGGCAATAAGCTGGGCCTAATAAGGTGCTCCACAAACACTTAAAAAAAAAACCACCTGAACAGAGTGTCCATTACCTGCATATTATATATCCAATCAAAATGAAAATTACAGAAAAAAAATAATACAGTCAGTAAAGCCAGTGTACATTTTTAAATAATCTACACTAGAATAAAACTCAATGAATCATCAAAAGCACATCTATTTTCATTATAGCAATTCTAGGCAACCCAAGAGTCCTTGGGCATGAAAACCTTGTGTAAATAATGTTGATTGTGTTTAAATAAAAATTCAGCCTCTAAAGATGCTGGAGCATATCGCGCCAGACATGTTCAATCTGAAGGCATGTTCAATGTTCTATCTCTTGCTTCCTGCATGGTGAACTCTTCTCCTTCCTTCCTTTTGCTGCACATCCATTCTGCCATGTATGTTGTGAGTAGATGAGTTGAGGTAAAGACCAAAGAAGATACATATAAAACAGTACATATCTGCTACAGAGCTGCTGTTTTAATCCTGCATATCTTTGCCATTTGTTTATCTTTGTAAAATATTTGTTAACAACATTAATGTTTCAGTTATAATTTGGAGAAAACATGGCACATCCCTTTATACCCCACAGATACCAATGTGTATCCTCACAGCTCCTCTGGCAAGTCTGATCTCTCCTCCTTTCTCACTCCTCAAGGTGCATTTTAAGAATGGAGGCATCACAGTGCTAAGATGGATTACTTGGTCACAGACAGCAAGGTGGAGGACAAAGGAGACAAAACTATAAAGAAAAGAAAAGAGAAGAGCCAGAAAACTCATCTCACTTTGTCCAGCTTTACAAGAAACCGGCAATGTTGGAGATAAAATAAACCCTGATTTCAGTGCTATTCAAAAAGATTTGCACAAGATGACAGCATTTCTTGGTAAATAACGCAAGATTCAGACTAGAATGAACATGTATTAAAGGCAAACACATGCTGGAAAGATTGGGTCAGCAGTACTGTTCTCTATGGGAAGAAAGGATGAAATAAGGCTCACTTTGGACAGTGGCTTTTCAAAATGTCTAACCAGATATTTAAGGTACTGGAGCAAGACTTTTCCTAAAATCCAAAGAAATATCTGATCAAAACAATATTTTAGGATATAAAAAAAGGTTTTGCAAAGGATGGAAAGTAAAGTCTCTCAGCTCTACATTTGCTTTGCTTTCGGTAAGAAATGTTCCTAAACCCGAGCACTTGAACACACTGAAGGCACAACAGTCATGAATGACGCCATGCGCAAAAATACCTGGTTGGAAATCCAAAACGTGTGAGCTTTCCACCTTGAAAAAAATTGTGATAGTTGTGTGTGATCATAACATGAAATGAAAAGTAGAAAATAACTCTTCCTCTGGTGACTGACAGAGGCAGGACGTGATAAGACTGTCAGCATGGGCAGCACGTTCAAAGCTACATAGAGAGGGAGATTACAGTATGGCTGCAGCGCATAAACCCTCATTACAGAGCTGAATGATTGGTTCATGGTCAGATGAGTCATTTGTTATGTTCTTCACAAGTGGTGCACGTGGAGAGCAGTAGATGAGTTTATGTTTAACGGCATGGGGAAGGGTGTCTCCTTGTTTCAAGGAAGGGTCATTGCAAATCAATGCAGAATTGTCAGGACTGATCACCTCTAGAAAATGAAGAAAGTTCTGTCCTGAAGATAGATGCCTCTGTATGAATAATAATGGCCCTGTTCCACAGGGTAGGGGGTCATGTAATGGCTGGATGGTTGTTATCACCGCCGTGGCAAAACCAGGATAGGAAAACCCTACTTGGTGGTTTTATGAAATTATTGAGCAAAACTCCCAAGGGAATGAGGCAGTTCGTGCACTGCCATAACTTGCTGGAGCATTACACACCTATTGCTAGTTGCTATCAGCCTTCTCTTGGTTCTTGAACTGAAGGATTTATACTTACCCCGTTTTCTCCTTGTGCTCCTAGTACCTGCCTTCTGAGTCTCCAACCCTGGATCCCTCATCTACTTCCTCGTGCCTGTAAGAAAACCGTACTTACCTTCAGCTGCTCAGTCACCTTTCCACCACCAGCCCTGCTACTTACCTTTACCTGGAAGTACCTACCCTCCACTCAACGTGTCGAGATCGCCACCTTCCAGTAAGAGCTGAGCAACCTGAGGCAAACCAAACATTCATCCATTATCCTGGACTCACCCTATTTCCTCCTTGCTCACGCTTCCCCAAGCTCCCTTGTAAATAATACTGTTCAATATTATTCGCTGTACATACTTTGTAAATCACTGTAATTTATATTCAAGTTTGAGTCTGTTTGTCCTCAGTCTGGTTCTCATAAACATGATAGTTGAGTTTGCAAACAAGGCTCTAAATTTTGTTAGAGATAGAGAGTTGTATCGGTGCAATCAGATGTATATTTTACTTGACAATTCTGCAGCATAGATTAAATAAAAGTCTTGGAAGCCTGGAACTCCTGACCTATGATCAGAACTGAATAAGCCTTTTTGGAAGAGAGGCAGAAACATCTCCAAGAAGCAAGAGAACTGATCTAGTTGCACATTATTAAAAAAAAATGTAAGGTAGTATGTCACTGGGCTGTAACTGTTGATGACCAGCTGGCAAATACTTTTCGTGAGGGAGCCTCCGAAAATCTTTAGTTTCCTTGTTAAATTATCAGAAGCTTACAGTTTTGTTGACTGGAATTTCAACATGTTCAAAAGGTTGTGCAACAATATTTCTCTCAGAAGAGTCAGAGGCAATGCAGGTGTGTCAAGCCCTCTTAAACCTGTCTCACGTTTTGTCCTGGGCCCCTTCAACCCATCTCAAAAGTGCTGGAGCTGCATTTTATCACCAGTATGAGAAAGCTCCAGGTTTTTTTTTTTTTATGCCAGTGATACATAGTTATGGAAAAAATGGTCAAAATTCAACTATATTAATTTTAAACGTTCACAATCGATTAAATCCTAAATGAGGGGGCAGCTGCTTATGTGGGTGGAAATTGGGCCGAAGGTGAAAGGTGAAAATACACCATGACTTAAAAAAACTGGCCACATAAAATGACTTTATGACTTGGGTGAAAACACTTAAAAATTCAATGAGACTAACTGAAAATTCATCTTATTTTCTTACATTTTTCTTGCAATTTTGAGACACTTTCTCATCTCCAACTGTTACAATGAGAGGAGAGCCTACCTTTAGGATTTTCATGTCCTGGATGACTGACATTCTATACTAAACATAGTAAACATCAACACGGAGCTGACACAATAAACCAAAAAAACTGTAAACTGTTCTGAATGATGGTCAAGGAGAGAACACCTTATCAAGTATCTGAAAGTGTTTTTTTTTTCTTTTAGTTTTTCTGCTGTTTGTAGAAACATTGTAGATATTTGCAACATATTAAGATACAAGTACTCTTTATTTACTCATGTAACTGAGTATTTAAATGTTGCTTTGTTACCCATTTTCCCTTCTTCCCTCAGCTGTCCTCTAACTGTCACTATGCAGGGTTTAATGAAGCAAGAACGTCTACGAATGATCTTAAAAAACCCAATTAAATATTAAAGCACACACTTTTCTGCAAGAGAACCCATTTGAGCCTTTTTGTGGCATCCAGGCTCATTAAAATAAATTTAATTTTTTTAGCTAGAGCATGGAAGAGACAAGCTAGGCAATTTGTTTTACTTTTTATATTTTTTGAGCTCCAGGAAGGTAAATGAATAATGTGAGATTGACTCAAATTGTTTTCAGTGATTTGAAGTTCTTCCCCATTAGGACAAAAGATGTGGGAACAAAGAGTTTTGTTCACGACTTAAGGAAAAGAAACAAATAGCTGTTTTTAATCAGGCAATTTAGTTATTTATTGACTAAACAGCTCAAGTAAAGAAATATAAATTCACACAGGTACCTTAAGCACCATTCTAACTCCCATAAGATGGTGTGGATATAAGCATTTAACCACTTAATAAGATTTCAACTGTACCTGGACTTTCAAGACTGAGGTGAAGGTTTTTGCATCTTCTGTAACTCCTCCGATATAAAGAGGCCTGGTGAATACAGGTGGGTGGTCATTCTCATCCTTGACATCGATCATCACCTTGGCTGTGTTACCTAGAATAAAAACACACAATAAGATGCATTCTGCTTTGGCCCTAAAAAGTACACACATTTTCACATAAAGTAGCAAATTTTGGTTTGAAATGGACATATTTTGCTAACTTTCTTTTGCCACTATTCCAACCTGGACCAAATATCAGCAATAAAAACAAGCAGCAGCATCTTGCTGAACTGCAGATGCAGACATAGATCTACAGATGTCAGCAATGCCTGCAACAGCTGCATTCACAGCTGGTGGCTCATCTACACTGAGCAACTGTTCTGGTGATGATGGCGGCGAGTCAAACTTTTATCTTCTTCAGCTGTTTTCTTTCTATACAGGTCATCCGGGTGTTTATATGTGCAGTTAGACTGACCATGATGGACAGACTCCCTGAGTGGTAAAATCACAAAGGTAAACTTATATTAAATAAAACTAATTATATTAAATTTAACTAATATCGGAATCAGAATCAGCTTTATTGTCATTACACTGAAGCACAACTAAACTGCATTTTCAGTACAGCCCGTCCAAGAACAACATAAACAACAACTGACAAGAGGAGACGGAGGTGATTGAGGCCACCGCCTCGGCAGGTGCAGCCTTATTTTCAGATAAGGACAAAGAAACATGAGGGGGAGGGTAGGTGTAAAAAAATCAAATCTTGCACTGTGTCCTATGGAACACAGTATGAGAGTTGCAAAAAATGACCTTAGTACAACACAAAAAGCACACAAAGACATAATACATATGCATGTGGAGTGGGTAGGGGGCAGGGGTCCCAGCACGACTGTCAGGTGAGCAACACAGTCCTTTGGTGCCTTCGCATCTCCTAGGTTGCTGCACCGGGGGAGGCAATGAGGAAGGCCAGTGAAGGCATGAGTTTGAGGGGAAGTTGTAGCATAGCACAGTTCAGAGCCCAGAGCCCTAATCCTGATAAGAGGTGTTTGTTTATCAGCCAGCTCAATTGAGCACTGACACTGTTCCATGTCCTTGGGGACGGGAGGGGATGATGAGGGAATCAGAGCGTCTTGTTTCCATAGCACCCAAGAAGAAATTGAGATGGTCAGCCTTCCAAGTCCAGAGCCAGATTCAGATTTCAACATTGTTTTAGGTCAGACTGAGCTCTTTAATTTCCACATCGCTAGTACATCTCATGGCGACTCCAAACAGCTGAATTGTGATTACTTAAGTAATTAACTTAATATTCTGCAGCTTTGGGAAAAAAGCATATAGTTCATGTTTTTAAAAGTTTTATATATCTTTTTAATGTTTCAGAACAATCAAATAGAAAAGTGTGACAATGAACTCTGATGCTTTATCAAGATTGAATAGATTTAAATGATAAATTGACTTATATAATGCTTTATATCCAAACATGATTCTAAAAGCTCTTTAGAACACAAGCTGTGCCCTCATTTGCCCATCCACACACCTCTAATACATCTCTTCAAATCTAATCTGAGTAAATTATTTTATAGAGACTAATCGGTGCTTTAGATCACATTCATACACCAATGGGACACATATCAGAGGCAATGAGGGGTTCAGTGTCTTGTCCAGGGACACTTCGACAAATGACTGCATTTGGTGAAATCAAATCCTCAACTTTCTCATTGGGAGACGACTAACCACTCATACAGCTGTCCTTGATATAATTGGCAAAATGTCATTATAGGTTTTAGTAACGGCTGAGGAAATGATCCTACATCCAAAAACAGTGGTTTTTGAAATGTGTTATGCTATTGTTTTTTTTTATTATTATTATTTTAAATTTCAAGCTGATTAATTTCTAAATAATCTGGTAATAAATTTTAGTTGGTGCCAGTAAAAATCGTTTCGTCAGCAACTGTAAAGGTGAAAACAACAACAGCAGATAATTTAGGCATTTCTGAATTTGGAACATTTTGTCCCAATTCATACACTGAACAAAAATATAAATGAAACACTTTTGTTTTTGCTTCCAATTATACATGAGATGGACTCAAAGATCGAAGACTTTTTCTACATACACAATAGGCCTTTTTCTCTAAAATATTGTTCACAAATTCTTTGGTGATGCGAACAGACTGTTGCAGCAGCTGTCCAGGTGGCTGGTCTCAGACAATCTTGGAAGTGAAGATGCTGGATGTGGAGGTCCTGGGCTGGTGTGGTTACACGTGGTCTGCGATTGTGAGACCAGTTGGATGTACTGCCAAATTCTCTGAAACTCCTTTGGAGATGGCTTATGGTAGAGAAATGAATATTCAATCCACAGGCAACAGCTCTGGTGGACATTCCTGCAGTTATCGTGCCAATTTATGCTCTCTCAAACCTTCAACATCTGTGTCATGCTGTGTGATATCACATTTCAGAGTGGCCTTTTATTGTGGTCAGCCTAAGGCACACCTGTGCAGTAATCATGCCGTCTAATCATCATCTTGATATGCCACATCTGTGAGGTGGGTGGATTATCTCAGCAAAGAAGAAGAAGATCTCTGAGATCAGCTCATGGAAGCAACAGTTTTGCATTTATAGTTTTGTTCAGTATAATTCATCATCAGTCTTGTCATTTTCTCCAACTGGTCCAGAGGTTATTTTTTAAATTCAAAACACTTTTTTAAATTTAACATTTATTAACAGAGACAATCCAATATTTTACAATAGTAATTAAATCAAAGTGAAGATTCAGAGAATATGTTAGTTTCTTTAGCACACAAACCCTTCACAAAACTTTTTTTTTTCTGAATCTGACCAATTCATTTAATTAAGTTTTGGATTATTCATAATGTGTTGAACCTAAATTATAGCATATATAATTATGTTTCATATTTTGAGTGAGCAAATCTCAAAGCTGGACTGTGCAATTAGTCTTAAACTGGATTACTTTTTCTCGCATACCACTGAGATTAACATTTTGTGACTTAATGTAAACAAACTGAACTTGTAAGTTTTCATTATCAAACACACATTCCCACTTCAAGCCTTATTAGGCAAGTATTTAAAAAAAATTAATAAATTCTCAAATCCTCTTTGATGAATTCTTCTTCTCTTCTGTACACAAATCCCCCCAAATCCCTAAACAAGTTAAAAAATAATGAACGCATGCTGTGGGGGGGGGGAAGCTCAAAAAGTTTTTAAACTACAGCAGTTGTTTTAATTTGTGCCATTTAATCAAATATTTGAGATGCATGTAAAGAAAAGTCACTAATGCTGAATTTGTAAATACTGTAGTAGACATCTCATTTTCAGAGGTGGTGACTTGAAGCGACTCATTCATCTAATCCGGTTCTAAACAGGAAGTTTTGAATCATACACATTTAAAACACAAACCTAGTTCTGTAGACCATTAGAAGGTGGATCTCAGGGTCTCGTCAAGTTTTCCAATAATACACAATGCCAGAACATCTCATAACCATCCTCACTTAAATTTAAAGCAGGATTCACATCCTGTTAGAAACCCATTGATTTGTTTTCCGATCAAATATGCTTAAAAAAAAGGCTGAACATTTTCTCTAGATGACTTACTACTTTTATTCCAGGAGATTATTAAAATTCAAATAGCTTAAATGAAATAAGAACAGCATGTGGTAAACACCATAATTAAAGAAAATAAGAGAAAGCCATGGAGTAGAGCTTCAATTAAGGACAGATATGTTTTGAAAAGAAGCAGGAGAGATCAGAGGAAGAGAGAAAAAATGCATTCAAGATGAGACGAGAAGAAAAAGCAAGAGAATAAAGAATTTGAGGCTAATTAGATCCCTATTCACATTAGTTCTAATTATAAATGAAACCAAAATAATAGTGTTTTGTCTGCATTTCTTCTCGAAAGAAACGACTTGAACAGATTTAATGTTGACCTGAACAGCAGGGGTCACTGTTAATGCAAAAAGTCAATCTCAGCAGTTCTTCGAGTTTATCCTTGAATGGTGTCCCTCTTGAGTTTGTCGATTCCTACAAATATTTGGGTACCTTGGTCAATTCACATCTCTCTTTTAAGCTCCATGTGGAAAACTTGGTAAGGAAACTGAAAGTTAAACTGGGTTTCTTTTTCAGAAACAAATCCTGTCTAACCCTGAATGCTTGGAAACGCCTTGTAACTGTGACTTTGCTTCCCTCCATTGATTACGGTGACAATATTTACATGAACGCTCCTACAAGCACCCTACAGATGTTGAATGCTGTCTATCATGGTGCGCTAAGATTCATAACTGGCTGTAACTACCGTACCCGTCACTGCACCCTGTATTCACTGGTTAACTGGTCATCATTAACTTCACGCAGACTCTCTCACTGGTACATTTTCATCTTTAAATCACTTCTTGGTCTGTTGCCTTCATACATCTCCTCCTACACGTCTCTGCGTGAGTGCAGCTACAGCGTGCGCTCTCAGGACATTATTACCTGCAGTGTTCCCTCAGTGAGAACTGAACTAGGCTAAAGGGCCTTCTCCTACTCTGCTCCTGTTTCCTGGAATATCTTGCAAAAAGAGCTGAAGCTCTCGACCTTGACCTCTCTAAGTGGCTTTAAACATCTGCTAAGTTCCTGGGAAAAACCCATGCAGACATGTCCTTGTTTTTAGTTTTCTACATCACCTTTTTCATTCAACCTTTATTTATACAGGTTAATCCGAATGAGCAAGGGGACTCATTTACAAGAGAGACCTTAATTTTAACAGTGATGAGAACAGTGGACAACTGTGACAACAACAGACAATCATAAAGGATGCGTACACATTTATTTATTCATTTATTTTTAACAAGTGAAAATAAAATGGTAATAAAAAAGGATAATCGAAAGGAAAAGTAGCAAAAAAAAAAAAGCTAGATTACAAGGCGGTATAGAAAACTAAAAACAGGAACATGTCTGCATTGGTTTTTCCCAGGAACTTAACAGATGTTTAAAGCCACTTAGAGAGGTCAAGGTTGAGAGCTTCAGATCTTTTTGCAAGATATTCCAGGAAACAGAAGCGGAGTAGGAGAAACTTTTGCCAAGTTCAGTCCGCACTGAGGGAACACTGCAGGTAATAATGTCCTGAGAGTGCACGCTGTAGCTGCACTCACGCAGAGTTATGTAGGAGGAGATTATAACCTAGCTGTTTGTTTTGTTACTTTTTTAAATACCATTTTATTTTCACTTGTTATTCTCAATTTGTACACATCCTTTGATTGTCTATTGTTGTCTTTGTTGTCCACTTTTTTCACCACTCTTTGTTAAAACCAGGTCTCTCTTGTAAACGAGTCCCCGAAGCTCAATGGGATTAAGCTGTATAAATAAAGGTTGAATGAAAAAAAAAAAAAAAAGAATAACTTTACAGGCGTTAAACAGCTTACTAGCATATTTGGATATTTTGTGTGCTGCAAACCAGGTTGAAATTCCAAAACAAGTTCTGTACAGATACAATATATACACCAAGTAGCAAGAAGACAAGCATGAGATTGATAGTAAAAAAGACAGCTGACAAGATCAACTAAGACAAAATATAATATAGAATACAGACAAGATGAGAAGTCGAGGACAGGTCTTGTGTGAGGTCACAAAGAGCGAGCTTCAATAATAAAAGTTAGAGGAACAAGAGAGCAGTTTCACCTCTCAAGATGACTAAAAGCCCTGTAACATTAAAGCAAGCCGCCTCATATAGTTGCCATCTAGCTTTCGTCTGCGTCGAAGCTTCCGAGTAAGAAGATGAATAGAAAAGCCTTGGAGTGCCTGCATTTCAACAACAGATGTCACACTTCACATGGATGCAGGCAAAGATCTACTATCACAGACCAAACACCAAGAGACCAATGTTTCAGGGGGCACATGCACACTTACAAAGAACCTGCATTGTTGCATAGGTAACATTGACAGAACTTGAGCTGCTGGACCCAGGAGGCCCATATCTGTCTGCCTCCACTGTGAGCCACCAGCATTGAATAGAGCAGATTGTTGGACTGATATGTCCAGAGTTAGTGAGCTTTACTGAACAACGTGGCTGTGACTGATGCGTACACCCTCTGCAGTCTGTATAGAAGTTCAGCTGTGTTATAAGTTTTTTAAGGCAGTTTCATTTCCATAAATGCAAGGGAAATAGAGTCTAAGGTAAGGGTTAGTAGTCTAAGAAGAAGCCATTCACTTCAAGTATCAGGAGTCTGAGGATGACTTTCCTATTTCCTACATGTACCAATGGATTCATAATTCAAAGTATCAAGGGACAGTGGTTAAAATATTCCATAATAAAATGGGACACCCCAACAAGCTGACCCACCATCATTGCTGCGAGTACACCTTTACGCAAAAAGACACTAGGCTAATATGCCATATTAAAGTTGCATAGCTAGTTATTGACTTCAGCTTAGGATACAATTTTTTGTGTTAGTGGTGGAATATCAACATTAATATAAAAGGTGGTACTTCTACTTAAAGATACATTAAACTATATCTTGTTCTGATTTCTTCCTTTTACAATTGCTTTTACATGTTTTTGCCTAGGCAGCACGGTGTTGCAGTTGGTAGAGCTGCTGCCTCTCAGTGAGCAGGTCACCCTGGTTCAAACCCCAGTCCGGGGGCCTTTCTGGGTGGAGTCTGTATGTTCTCTCTGTGCATGCATGGGTTTTCTATGGGTGCTCCATTTTCCTCCCGCAGACCAAAATCATGCATGTTAGGCTGAATGGCAACTCTAAATTGTCCCTAGATGTGAGTGAGAGAGTGAATGGTTGTTTCTCGTTTATCTCTATGAAGCCCTGTGATGGACTGGAGACCTGTTCAGGGTGTCCCCCGCCTCTTGTACAGTGATAGCTGGACATGGGCACCAGTGACCCACGGTGACTCAAAAGGAAGAAGTGGGTAAAGATAATGGATAGATGGATGCTTTTGCCCAATTTTAACCCTTGTTAAAGAATATTAATAAAAATATCTAATGTAATTTTCATTCAACCTTTATTTATGCAGATTAATCCCATTGAGCCTCCGTGACTCATTTACAAGAGAGGTTTGATTTTAACAAAGAATGATGACAACAGTGGATAACAAAGACAACAATAGATGATCATAAAAGCAAGCATACAAATTGAGAAGAACAAGTGAAAGAAAATGGTATTTAAAAAAAAAACCCAGCTAGGTTGTAAGGTGATGTAAAAACCTAAAAACAAGAAAATGTCTGCATTGGTTTTGTCAGGAATTTATCAGATGTTTGAAGCCACTCAGAGAGGTCAAGGTCGACAGCTTCAGATCTTTTTGCAAGATATTCCAGGAAACAGGAGCAGAGTAGGAGAAGGCCCCTTTGCCTAGTTCATTCTGCACTTAGGGGCCACTGCAGGTAATAGTGTCCTGAGAGTGCACGCTGTAGCTGCACTCACTAGTCACATGTAGGAGGAGATGTATGAAGGCAGCAGACCAAGAAGTGATTTAAAGATCAAAATGTACCCGTGAGAGAGTCAACGTGAAGTAGACTTATTAAAATGATCTTATTGTTCCATACTTTCATAACACAGCACACAGCTCTCAGACTGCAGGCTTACTTATGGTTCCTAGAGTCTCTAAACTTAGAATGGAAGACAAAGCATTCAGTTATCCAGATCCTCTGTTGTGGAATCAGTTTTGAGTTTCTGTCCATGAGGCTGACACTTTGTTTACCTTTATGTCTAGACTCAAAACTTTCCTTTTTGATATATCCTAGAGTTAAGGTTGGCTTGGATTTCCTGATTAATCCCTTAGGTATGCTGCTATAAGCTTAGACTGCAGGAGGACAAACTTACAACATTTCCTAACTCAGCTGTCTTTACTTTTTCTACTCTTCATATGTATATGTTATTGATGCCACTAACTTTACATTCTCAGCTTGTCTTCCCCTTGAAACTAACTAGGACAGCTCGTATCCCTTTGTTTTAAAATGTGCCACCGAAAAATGTTCCCTTACCCTCACACTACATGGTAAATGGACAGCACTTATATAGCACCTTTCTATCTAATCAAGATACTCAAAGTGCTTTACACTACAATCTGTGTCCTCATTTACTCATTCATACAGCACTCTACTAGAACTCTACAAAGCTTATGGAACAAATTATTCTAAAGATAATAATAAGAGCTTTATCACATTCACACACTGATGAGACACACATCGGAGGCAATGAGGGGTTCAGTGTCTTGCCCAGGGACACTTGATCATGCGACCACTGATGGATTCGAACCCCTAACTCCTGCATTGGAGGACGACTGCTCTAACCACTCAGCCACAGTCACCCTGCAAGATATCACAAAAAGAACTGGAACACTTGTGCTAGATTTGAAATTTAGGAAAGTTTCTTGTTGGTCCCAATTGAGATGCACAACCTAATTTAAGTGGCAATTTGTTTGTTATGCCACACTGTTCCACTAATCCGTGTACAAGTGCTGCACTGCAAGCCTCAGTCCGACAAACCCTGTAATTTCAGATATAACAACAACACACTTACTTTTTGAGGGAGCTCGAAGGTTAGAGGACACCACTCTCATAGAATCAGCCTCTACTTTCAGGACGTAACTGGAATTAGTTTCGTAATCCAGAGGTTTGGCTGTGGAAATCTTCCCTGTAGTTTTATTTAGCGTGAACACATCTGCAGAAAACAGAGCAATAAAAAATACACGAAAAACAAAGTTCCTGTACAAGGAGGACAGCTAGTGAGTGAGCAATGTCAGTTTGACGTTTTAAAGAGAGGAAAAAAGAAGTTGTGTAGTGTTCCCTGAGCTGTTGTCAGGGATGGTTCAACCAAGAAGAAGCTTTAACAGATGGCAAAAGCTGGTGCACAAGAGAGACTCCCAACAGGAAAGCTCACAGCGCACTCACCTCCATCATTGCCTTCAACGATGGAATACACGATTGTTTGATTGACAGCCGCTGCCATGATGACTCCCACCAGGGTTCCGATGGCAGCCTCCTCACTCACTGGTGGAAACCTGGGAATGGATCAGTCAGTCAGCACTAACGGAAAAAACTCAAGTGTGCATGTGTGGACGGCTGACCCACTTCTCTTCAAAGGGTAACTGAGATCTGGCAGGTTAAATACAGCTGAGAATTTAATCCGTAAAGCATTCGTGTCCCCCCCCTCCCCCACTGGTAAACCTGGCAGCGTTTTTACTAAAAAGTATTCAAGCTGTGTTCCAATTAAAAAGAGAAGTGCGGGAATAAGGTAGCACCAAAAATAAACACATTTTTCCCCCCATTTTTTTTGGTTTAATCATTAAAACGATGTTTCGTCTAGTTAATTTGTACTCAGCAGAGCTGTATAACTCTGGCAGGCACGCCATTAGTGATGGTTGTTTACGTTTTTCAGTCTCACATTGACTAAATTAGTGCATTTTAAAGCAGTGGCAGTGCTCATTCATTCTGCCTGCTTTGTCCTCACCTCATGGATTGTTCAAGAGACCAACTCAGCATTAACGTTCTCTCCGTCACCCCTTCTGCCTCCCTCAGAGTTCATTGCTTATCTTCTTCAGTCCATGTCGTGTTTATTCAGATGCAGCAAACAGCTCAATGATATTGTAATGAGGTCTCTACCTCAGTGTAAATAAATATCTTTAAAACTGGCCGAGCTGCAGTCATTTCAGTGCTAATTTGGTGGTCATCTCGAGTCGGATTGGCTGAAAATGTTACTAAGCTGTAGATGTACATCCACTGATGACTTTCTGCCACAATAATTAAAAGTTATCTAGTGGTTCATGAGATATTTTGTTAACAAACACATACACGCATGTACATAAACATCATCTTAGTAGGGTAAGGTAAAACAAAAGATATTGCATTTCCTGTGAAAATGCAGTGTGAATGCTTATTGCTGATGAACTTGCTGCAAAACAGCTGAAATTCGCTAAAAAAAACATGCTGAATTGCAGATGAAATGGAAGAACAAGCCTAAAATAGCAGAAGAAACTGGAAAGAACACATTTTTGCTTAAATGGGTATAAATAAACAGAAATAAGCACAAAATTAGGAAATTAGCAAAAAAATAACAACTGAAATTAGAAAATAATAGCTGAAAAGTAGCTGAAAAGTCAGAAATAAGTTTAAACTACCAGAAGAAAGTGGGAAAGAGCTGACATTAGCTAAAACAATGTGGACTTAGCTGAAAAGGCTCAATTTAGCATTAAACAGCTAAATAGTAGCTGAAAAGAGCATAACAAGCTGAAATGATCATAAATAAGTTATGGTAGGTTGAAAGTAGCAAGAAATTACCATGAAAAACTTCAATTTATCTCTAAACAGCTGAAATTAGCTAACCAATGCTCAGAAGGTACCTGAAAAAGGTAAAACAAGCTTAAGTTAGCCGAAGAAAGCCGAAAGAACACGTTTACCCAATTAGGCTGAAAGCATCACAAATGAGCACAAAAAGTGGAAATTTTCTAAAAAAAGTTGAAATTAGCATTAAACAGCTAAATAGTAGCTGATAAAGCAGAAAAGGCTGAAACATGCAGAAACAAGATGAAAGGAGTATAACAAGCTGAAATTAGCAGAAATAAGTTTGAAGAAGTACAAAAATGTTTAAGTTGGCAGAACAAATCTGAAAGGAGCACAAAATGGCTGAAAAAACAGCTAAAATTAGCTGAATAAAAGTTAAAATTTGCACAAGGAAGCTGAATGAAGCAGAACTGGAATAAAATGTGAAAGGAGCAGTAAAAGTTTGTAAACAGATCTAAAGATTTGAAGGAGGTAAAATGAGCTCAGTTCATTTTCTACAACAATAAAATGGCAGAAAAAGGTTCAATATTTCAAAAAGCTAAAGTTGCACCAATATCAAAATTCTGAAAGAGCTGAACGTTTTGATTTATGATTTGTTGGAATAGCTTGAAAACTGTGGGACGAGAATCGCACAGAAAAACTTACAGAAGAAAAATGGATCACAATAGTGTGAATGCTTCATAAAAATTCACACAATTACACAAAATGACACTAGTTCACAGGATTTAGTAAAACTCTTGTTTGCCAGTTTTAACAACAGTCGTTCATATTTAGAGACTGTAGCTGCAGTGGTGGTTGATCACATACGACTGTTAACCAGATGACTTTTTATTTATTGTCTGACGGATTACCTTTTTTTAATTTTAATGCATACAATTCTGTGAAAGTTTTCTTGTAGAAGGTAGAACTCATTTCAAATTGTGCTGAAGTTTGAAGCATTCCTCATTTTTTTATGCTTCGCTTCCAAGGAACCAGACTTTCTGGTTATTTTTTATGCGATTCTGATCAAAACAACCATCAACATCAACGAGGACCCTCATCAGTATGCATACCGTGAGAACCGATCAACAGAGGATGCCATCTCCTCTGTGGTCCACACTGCGCTCAACCACCTGGAGCAGAAAAACTCTTACGTCCGTATGCTCTTTGTGGACTTCACATCCGCCTTCAACACCATGATCCCCCAAACCCTGATGGACAAACTATCCACACTAGGACTAAGCCCCTCCATTTGCAACTGGGTACTAGACTTTTTAACAAACAGACCACAGTTAGTGAGGATCCACAACCTCTCCTCCTCCACCATAACCCTCAGCACTGGCTCTCCTCAGGGATGTGTGTTGAGCCCCCTCCTGTTTACTCTGCTCACATATGATTGTGCAGCTACCCATCCAGGCTGTCACATTGTAAAGTTTGCAGATGATACAGCGGTGGTGGGATGCATCACAAACAATGATGAGTCCAGCTACAGGCAAGAGGTGGAACACCTGGAGAGCTGGTGCAGAGAGAATAACCTTCACATCAATGTGAAGAAGACAAAGGAGATGATTGTGGACTTCAGAAGGAACAAAAACATCTACACCCCCCTGACCACAAGAGGATCTGCGGTGGAAATGGTCTCCAGCTACAAGTACTTGGGTGTACACATGAATGACAACCTCAGCTGGGGCAACAACACCACCAGCCTGATCAAGAAAGCTCATCAGAGACTCTACTTCCTCAGACGGCTGAGACGAGCTGGTCTGGGAAGCTCAGTCCTCACCTCCTTCTACAGGTGTGCAGTGGAGAGCATCCTGTGCTCGAGCATCAACGTGTGGCATGGAGGCTGCACAGCTGCAGAAAGAAAAGCTTTGCAGAGAGTGGTGAAGGCTGCACAGAAGACTGTTGGAGTCAGCCTCCCCACCATCACAGACATCTACACCTCCAGATGCAGGAAGAGGGCCACCTGCATCATGAAGGACCCCACTCACCCAGCACACACACTTTTTGCCCCACTCCCCTCAGGAAGGAGGTTAAGGAGCATTAAGTGTAGAACCACTAGACTGAGGAACAGCTTCTACCCTGAGGCTGTTAGACTCATGAATCTCTAACTAGAATAATCACTGTGAAAAACCATATGTTGCTGCTGATCTGTTTCATGTTGCTGCTGATCTGTTTCATGTTGCTGCTGATCTGTTTCAATGTTGATGTGTTCATGCGTGCACATCTGCTCACAGACTCATGTTCATGTTTGTGCTGATGTTCAATGTTTTATGTTATGAGTGCTTAGTGTATATTTAGTTGATGTTTTTCTTAGTTCATATCTTAGATGTTATTACTGTTTTTCTTATACATTTTATTGTTGGATGTAACTGGGACCCCGTGTACATAATTTCGCTCCACCACATGTACCACATGAGGTGCGAATGACAATAAAGAAACTCTGACTCTGACTCTGATCAATAGTTGACCAGAGTTTCTGAATGTAGTTTCTCTACTTGGCTGCTTTTTAAATAATGTTCTGGCCAGTCCTTGTATCTGACCATGAAAGCAAATGGTGCCATCTCAGACTTTTTTTTGTGTGACTACATTCTCTTGTTCAGGATTTAGGAGGCTGGTGCCAAAAACTCAATGGGTGAAAGAGTTAGACATTGAACAGATTGCTAGTCCATCACAGGACAAGACAACAATGTATGGACATTCTCACTTCCAAGGCCAGTTCAGAATCTCCCATTTGGGCTGTGGGAGAAAACCAGAAACCATTAACACATAGAAGAGCATGCTAACTAAACACAAAACACAAGCTGAACCAAAATTCAGTCCAAAGCTTTTCTGCCGTGAAGTGACCGTGCTAAACGTTGTTGGTGCACCCAGAAAATATGATGTGTAGACTGAAAATAAAAAAGGCCGCCAAAAGACCTATCATCAGCCAATGAAGGTATTTGACAGTCATATGACAGATACAACAAAAACCACAGGACCTGAGAGAAGCATCATTATTTACCTGATCATCTATGACAAATTTTCAAATGATAGCTCTTTATCATCCTTTGGTGCCAAAACATTATTTTGTGTGTCAAACTTTGTTATCCATGTTTTTTTTTTTTTTCATATATTCAATTAAACAAAATTGAAATAAATTGTGCCTGATAGGATCTGTGTTCATTAGTGTTTTATGTTCTGTAGATTTTGAGATTCCTGTGTTTTGTTTCTGATTCTTTGTGCCATATTCCATTTACCCTCTTTAAACTTCCACAGTATTTTTCCATTCAGCTGGCTACCCTCACCTGCCCCCAGTCAGTGTTCAGCCCAGGTGTTTCCACTTTCACTCTCACCCAGCTTGTTATTTAAACCATCTCGTCACCACCTCACCGTCGGCTCATTGCTCTGCAAACATGTCAGATGTCTCGGTCCTCCTTATGTTTTCCTCTGTGTTATCATGGAAGTTTTGTTGCCAGGTCTGCCTTTTGTTTTTGTTTATTAATAAATTCATCTTTATTTTATGTACTGCTCCCCGTGTCTGCCTGCACTTGAGTCTAACCTCACCAAACATGATAGTGTCTTTGTTATAAGTTGAGCCATCTATACATCCATCATCTTTACCCGCTTCTTCCGTTTTGGGTCATGGGTGTCAATGGTGCCCATGTCCAGCCATCACTGTAGAGGCGGGGGACACCCTGGACAGGTCGCAAGTCCATCACAGGGACACTTGGAGACAAACGAGACAAACAACCATTCACTC